GAGCAGAAAGGGAGAAACATGCTACTTTATTATATATTCACATGAGAAGCTCCTCCTTTAGTAAGGGTACCCATATTAATACATGTTATAGAGGGGTGGAAATGGAGAGCTTTTGAGCTCATTACACCAACCAAATTTTACAATAACACAGTGTTTTGTATGGACACTGCATGCTCCACTCTTGTCTCAAGTCATCCGAAATTTGCAGACAATTAAGAAGAATGGAAGTTGGTGGAATGACTAGAACTGAAAATGAATACACTGATATTTTATATATATATATATAATTTTTTTTTTTAAAGGCATGTGCCTATTTGTCTTGGTCCTGAATGAACATCAGGGAGGAATTTTTGGTTAGAAAAATAGGCTAGAACTCAAGCAGCTTTTCAGTCTGCATTATTTGCAGGAACAAATTTGATCAAATTACTCTTTGTAGAATATTACATAGGATACCTTTTACTTTTGTCAGCTGCTTATATTATAATCAGTTCACCTAAGGTTTGTCTTTTAGTATGTATAATGTCTGGCAAAATGAAGCTTCTCTCTTTCCCCCAGATGTGGTTGCATCCCCGAGGGTTCACATCAAGGCTAGCAATATCATCTAGATTAAACTGGAAAAAAGAAAGAAAAGAGTCTTGAAAAGATGCAAGTCTGTCATTCCAAGTTATAAACAGTCTCTAATTAAGGGAAACGTTCCCTTATGAGTAAATTATTGCATATGATTTTACAATTGCATTTCCTACACTTTCCAGAAGCATTTGCTACTTATCACCACCATCTATCATAACACACCACTGATCTAATTCAGCACAATACACATATTTCCCTGTAAATATACTAAATAATCCTCTACATTTTCATGGTGTGTAATAACTATCATAACTATCTTTTTTTTTTTTTTTTTAGAAAGGTTCATTACAATTCATTTACCTTAAGCAACACACTAATTTTACTGTGACAGGCAAAGATTGTACTCCCTTGGCACCAGGGAGTACCTGGTGCTTGCCTTGTTCCTGCTCCACAGAGTCTTGATGACTGATGTCATTAGGTGACTCCAGTAAGTCTCAGAGGTTTTACTAAATTTCAAGTATATTCATATTTCCTTGGCCAAGGGATTAGCTCATTCTCTGGAGGTTTCCAATTTTAGATGGCTCCAAAACACTTCTAAAATGTTCTCCAAGAAAAGCAGAGCTGTCACTCAGAGAGGAAAGTTTCGAGGTCCATGGAGCACTACTGAGCTGAGGAACATCTGTGCTTCCACGTAGCGAACAGCATGTCATGCTATGGCATGTTCTTCATATTGGAATAATGTTTAGCTAATTTCATTCTGCTAAGGTAAAGATTCGCAGTTACTTCAAAGACCACCTTGAATGTTTTGCTGCCATAGTAGTATCTGTCTTTTCAATAAATCAAGCAAATCTTTATAGAATGTTACCTGCACACCTGTTATGGGCTAGAAGCCTCTTTCCACATAAATCATAATTGAAAAACACAAGTGTGAGAACATGTCAAAGACTTTCAGATTTTCTGTTGCTAAATAAAGGATGACTCTTCTGATGAAGTAATTGAATTGTAGAGGCAGATTCTTTGGACATCCAAGGTCTCTCAGTGAATTAACAATAAAGTCTAAGAATTCCAGTTTTCACAGGTAATCTAAGGAGATTATCCAAATTGTACTTGTACACACATACATATGGGTAGTCACACAAAGTTTGAGCATTTGGGTGCATGAACTCAGATTTAGAAAGGAAGAGAATAACAAACAGGTTCACCTTTTGGTTATTCAGACCTCTGGACTGCCTGAAAACTTTGGCCCTCCTAGGTAAGAATGAAACAATTCCTCAGCATTAGTCCACAAAAACAGGATTTAAAATTGCAGCCAAAACATGGAATGAAATAGACTTGCAAGAAACAGCAATTAGAAGTTTGTTAATTTATTTTCAAACACACACCATACCTCTGCTTCCCTTCTTCATGGATCAGAAGCATAAGTACCAAAATAAAGAGCACCACTTCTTCCACTATTCCTTTTCTGGCTGAAACCAGGAAACACCCGAAGTCTCACAGGAAAGACCTTTTCCAACAGCAGACCTTTACGTATGCTTCAGAAAAGTGAAGAGTTTTGGATAATTATCTTTCCCTTGACCAGATTTCCCTAGCTATTCATATTTGTTTCTGATCACTGATAAATACACACAGTTTATTTTGACTTTCATCTTCCATTTTTCTCTGAACTTCTCAGAAAGTACAATATTCAGAAATGCTTAAGAAATCAAGGAGCCTGGGGGTCCTGAAAGTGGGATCTAGGTGTTTCATAATTGGTTTATTTTAATGAAAAGCCTAGGCAGTCAAAGATTAGCTTTTAAAGATTTTCAGCTCTTCTGTATGAAGATCAGTGCCTAGTATGGTTTTCAGAAAATAGCTGGGGAACTAAACTCCTTCAGAGATCTTTTTCTTACTGGCTAATCTGTTCTGAAGTCAAGGAAATCTTCTGGAAAGTTATTTATATCAATAGCTATCACACCACTGAAGTAATCTGATTCTAATCATCCCCAGAGAGTTGCAACAATGGGAATTATAAATAGCAAAAATATCATGCATATTGTCTCTACTATTTTAAAAACGCTGGTCATACAGACTAGTAGCTAAGAAGAAGTCTCAGGACACAATCCCTTAGTTTGAATATCAGAATATGTGCACATTTGCCATTGCCAAGTGGTATTCCTAAATGCCAGATGCTTTTTTCTGAGCAAAACTGCTGCATGCAACAAAGGGGTTGTGATAGTCCCTATAGTCTCTGCCTGGCTCCTGGTTTCTCGCTTGTCATCGTATTTGTAGGAACAGCTAAAGGGATAACTTTAACTGTGTTGATAGATGGCCTGGAAATGCAGTAGATGAGACAAGCTAACAGAAAGCACTGTCCTAGCTTCTGAACAAAAGGAAGATTCCATTAAAGTAGTTGTTCTATTCTGAGTCCATTTGTAATAAATTAAATTTTGCCATCATCTTCATTGCAACTTAAGGGTGTCCAGAAGAGACTGATTTCAACAAGGTCTCTATGTTTGTTTTATAACCTAGTTCTCCACTGAGTTCAAATCCAAAGTGCTTTAGATAGTAGAACATGTGTTATTTCAATAATGCATAAGCGTGTTTTTAATTCTTTGGTGAAATGACACACTTGCCCTCTATGATGACTACTGTCTGAGAAAAGCCGGGCTATCTTAGCACCTTTTCACTGTTTAGGTTTTGCAGTCTTCAGCAGTCCTTCCAAAGACAGCTAAAAGCAACCAAAGATCTCCCTACAAGTAGTTCCTCAGCCAACCATATTGTATAATATTTTTAATGCCAACAAAAATAGAAGTGATTAGTCAGATGACATTGAAGGAGACGTAACCCCATAATGTGTTAAAAAATAATTACCGACATCGCTTCTGAGAGTATGAACAAAATCACTTTACATGAAACTAAGAAAGCATGCAACACAACCCAGAATGCCAGAAAATGTTTTGCAGCACTTGCAAAATATGACCACTGTTCTGTAATGGACGGGGGGTTTTTGTTTAGTGAAACAGAAGAAGGAAAAATTTTAATAGTTTAATGACCTCCAGACAAATTCGCGACATGCTGAGAAACATCTTGGAAAAAATTAAGCAAAATTAGCAACTTTAAAAGTGTTGATTACACGTCCCAGAATTCATTTTCTGTATCTTTAAAAAATATATATGATCTACAAACACTTTTTTCCTATCTTCCAATAGCATCCAGGTAGCTAATAAATAAATGCTGCATACATTACATTCAACTCCACCACTGGAACCCACTTATCAGGTCCTATAACATCCAGTTCTGTTCAAGTTATCTTTTATTAGAATGAAACAGAATGGACATATCTTGACCCTTTCCTTTAGTTTTTATGTGATTTTTAAAAGGTCATTGGGATACTGACAGTTTAGTTTGACTAATTATTTCATTACATATTTAGTCTTCAAATATGTCAAACTTCAACCAGTCAGGTTGAAATTTCTTCTTCTTGGTCACTGGATTTTTTAAAATTTTTTTAAAAGTTTAATAGAAAATAGTTCAGCTATTTTTGGAACAAACTTAGTGAAGGATGGTTTTGCCAACATTCATATTTTTCATCTGTTTTCTGAAGAGCCATAATGATTTATAACAGGAGCTTGAAATCTGGCAGCAAGACAACCCTCAAGTTAGAACGGTATCTTTTTTGTCCCCAGGAAAATCCGTTCTTATTTAGCTGGATTAAGAGTTGCAGAAAAATCTCAGTTGCTATTTACAAAACAGAAAGTGTTACATTTTGATTTTCTGAATATTTCAACAGGAACATGCAAACCTTGAAGCCAGCTGAGCCTCCTGCCCTGAGCAGGTACTACACACCTGAAGGTACATCTCAGGACATCTTTATCTTGAACTCTTGTTTTCTTACAGCAGAACTATGACGACGACGACAACAACAACAACAACAACAACAAGAGGTATAATAGAAAAGTTAACAAGAAAGAGAAAGCTAATTAGAGATTAGTTGGGTATTAAACACTCAACACTATTTATACACTGTAAGACAGCATTAGAGTCTTTTAAGCTCAGCCTGTATAATAATTTCCCTAGAATTTAAGGGCTTTTTTATTCAGCTGTTGTAACTCAGCTCTATTAATATCAGTGGAGTTACATTAGTTTGCCCTGACTAATATTCTTTAGTTAAGCAGCCAAGCAAATAAAATCACTTCAGCTGTGCTTTTAAAGTCATTCCCAAATATCATCTGAAAGGCTCCTTCAGTGTAAAAAAACCCCAAACACGGCACCCTGGTGTAGGGCACGGCCCTGAACTGGCTGCACATTCCAAATTGCAGGTCAATAGGAGTTTCACAAGGGTACCCCAGGTCACTGCTTGCTCACAGTGACTTCAGAGGGAGGGGAAAAAAGGGTTTGAAAAACATTCCAGATTTCAGCAGAGTTTTTCTAGCTGTGCAGACACAGGAGTCACTGAAATGTCCGGAGGGACAGCCTTAGCAAGCCTGTGACCTTCTATGACAAACTGGACTATGGTATTTCAGAAGGGATTTGGTCAGGATTGTTAAACTTGTGCCAAAGAGAACCACTTCTTGGATTTTTTCAGTCAAGTAGCACTATATTTGGACTGGAAACAGCCTGTAGGATGAGCAGGAATAACCATTAGACGGCAAGTGAAAAGTTTCAAGCAGATACTACAGTCAAGGAAGAAACAACTTGAACGTATCTGGGCACATTTCCATACTGACTCAAGCAACACTTTTTCCCATGACATCAGATTCAAAACAAACAATATATTATAGTCCATATGTTGATTAAAGAAAACCCAAGCAGTGCAGAGTCATGCACCAGCCTACCGAACACCATCTGAACAAAAGCTGGATTGCTTGCAAGCCATGGAAGTTAAACAAATAAAAAGCCAAAAGTTTTCAGGATAAGGAGCCTGGGTAAGACATCTCAGCAAGATGAGGTTGTGAATACTGAGGTAAGATTGAAAGCAAACTGCCTAGATAGAAGTTATACAGTCTAACTAGATGACAAGTACAATAAGTGGAATTGCTTTGAATATGCAGCAATCATAAGGCTCAGAAAACTGTAAAGTTGGTTGTAGATGACATGCTTAGAGAACCTGAATTTCTCTACCTACCTGAAGTCATATAGCATTTGCATGAGAAACTTGGGATACAGAATGGTTTGCAGTCAGAGCTCAGAAGATCTTTTGGCAAACATGTTCCCAGTAAGATAATGCTGAGGACAAACGTGCAAGAGAAATATATAAATGCTGTTTTCACAGTAATGCTGCTTTCTTAGAACTGACTGTATTTTAAGGGAAGAAAGCTAGAATGCAGTCCTCACGATACACCAACACAATCTATCAAGAACAGTCAGTAAATCACACCATTTAGCAACTTAAAATTATATGATACATTTTAAAATTCAAAACAAAAGCAAAACCATGTTCTACAGGAGAAAGAAGCACTTGCTAAGCATAGCATATTGATGCTGTTTACAAAAGAATTGGGAATTGCACTCTTACATTACCATATCTTACATTAACATGGCCTAATAACAGTAATTCTTACTTGCATACACTAAATTCACTGAGATATTTTATCAGACTTTGAATTATCTGATCAGTTGATCCGGTGTAATAAGAAACAGGAGGCCACCATTGTTCTTTCTCACAGAATTTAATAAATCAAAGTTAGAAAAGAGACCTGTCAGAACAAATTTGACTAGGAGGTTAAAGTAGGTTGCTAAATTTCAAATGTGTTTTATCAAAATTATTTAAGCTCATAGGACTAATAGTCATACCTAATCATGAAATAAAATGTTGTATTATTGTCCATTAAAGTGGAGGAACTTAGGTTTATAGAGGTATAAAGGGAAAATAACATTTCTTTTGTTTGTACAGTACTGAACATATTCACAAGAAGCAAGAAATACCTTGTTCAGTAGCCAGACCTATGAAAACTCAGTTCACTTACAGATTTTTTTTTTTTCTTCTGTTTTAAATGATGGGTAGAGTTAAAGGAGTGGCTTTCTAGTTTTGTACATCTATCTTCATTCCCTTACACTGTTTCCAAATGCTTCAATCCAGGAATGACTATTGTTAGTGTCAAACTACATAATGAAAGTCTCAGCTAAAAAAGTATGTAGGTAAACAAATTTGGCAACCATAATTCTTTGCCATTCAATCTGGATCTCTGCAGCTATTTACTTCAAGACAGATTCTTGTCTATAGACATATACAGGTAACAACAGACTTAATTAATCCCAGGTACTATCAAGAAGAGGCATAGAAATGTGCTGCTTCAAAGTAACAGTGATCCTCCTAAAACAGTCACCACAGCAATTATCTGTCAAGATGATCATCAGGATCCTTAGTATTAACTATTATGTCACACATCTCTATGTGCTTTATTGTACATCTGCCACAGTTATTTGGAGCATACGATGTTTAAAAGAATATTATTGCCAGTTGAGGTGTTAACATCTGCATATTGCTCTTGCACAGATCTTCAGTGCCTAACTACCCCCCCTCCAAAAAAAACCCCAAAACCAACAACCATTTTTTTTCAACATATCTCCCAATTCTGCTTTGCAGGAAGTAATGATGGTATGTTGGCCAAATTTGTTGCATAAAGATCACAAGGGTTTTGAGGAGGAAGAATTTTACATCTTTATAAGATTAGTTGGATTTTAAGTATGGTCTCTAGGTCCAATCTGAAACCACAGGCATAGAAATTAAGAACCTGTCATTATTCTGTACTCACATGTAAGTTACACTGGGTACAGTGAACACTTTTTTACAAGTCTAAATAAGTAAAAAAAAAGTAATAACACTGGGTCTTTAACAGCTTACCTTAAGATACAGCTAACAGTAATTTGGCTTTCACTCGTCAGTTTAAAAGTCTATCCCGTAGGTTCAAGAAAATCTAGAAGAAAAAACTAGAGTAGGTCTGGTAGCCTTAACTAATCCTTATGAAGTCATTAATGCTAAGCTGAGGAAAGCAAACATGGGTAGTCTGACAACTACCAGGCATGTTGGTTAACTTCCACTTGATTTTGAGGCAGTACCTTCCCTGCAGCATGCAGAGATGGGAGTGCAACAGGGTACAACTGGGAAGAAACATTCTGAACCTGATGACATATACTTGTGTGTGAGACTAAGCATTATTTACGCTTTGAACAGTACTATATTTCTCATCTTCAGTGCCTAATTCCTAACATACAGGCAAAGGATACAGAGACAGACATGGTGCAGTGTAAGGTTGTACTTACTGCATTGCGGTGAGTAGCACTGTATCCATTCCACAGAAGAAACCTACCTTTACAGAATAATACTTGATTAAATAAGTAGGATCTTAATTAGGGTCAATATAAAGCACTGATGTCACTATTGCAAACACTTTGTAGGAGCTTTTTCTATATTCATATTTTAAACTCTAGCAAGTAACATCTGCTTATGTAAGTTAATTACAAACACTTCAGCTACACAGATCATAGTTTCCATATTTTACCTAGTTGTTCTGTGAAACTTAGTGTAACATGCCAGCATTTTTTTAATAGAAAAACCAGATATTTTCACATTTACTATCTTAGTATAATCTATACACATAATTGCTTTTAAGATAATATCTATTTCAGTTTATGAAAAGCAATTGAATGGCATAGTAGATTATCATTAAGCACTGTGGACAAAAAGTGTTCTGCTGGACTGAACCAGCTGTCGAACATGTCTTTTCAAAAATCTTGAAAACCGTGTTAACTGCTACATCTTAGTTTTCATGTACCTCAGCAGTTCTTTGTTCTGGCTGAAAGTGTAAACTATGAAATGACTGTTCTTGCAGTATTCAGAGTTTTACCATAGCCAAGAAGTCCTGGAATTGAAATAGTGTATTCTTTGGGGTATATTCAATGTTAAACTAAATCTCCAAATGTTTCTTGGCTCACCCACCATTAACTGGACCTTGAACTTACCATTTGTATTCAATGGCGGGGGTCTAGCACTGCCTTCTGTTTTTACAAATGTTTTCCATTGCCTCTGCATAGCTGACAGAACATGAGGCATATTAGGAGAAGGTTAAGTTCTCTTTCTGAACCACCAAGAATTCCTTAAGTCCTCAGAAATATCAGAACATAGCTAAGAAGCTAATTGTAAATCTCTTTGTAAAGGATTCTAGTTGTCATGAGCTGCAGGTCTTAAAATCTTTCTAGATCTTATCGCTTGTTCTCTGAGCATCTGCTTACTCTTCCTTCCTTTAGGTCAAAAAATCTTTACTGTGTGGAAAATCATAGCTGCAGTCATTCCAGGGAAAAAAAAAAAAAAAAAAAAAAAAAAAGGCCAAGACAGTATCACTTCTGTCCTGCACTTTGTTTTAAATGCAGAGCACAAACCAGTTGTAACTGTGGATGTTAAAGAAAAGCAGTTGTGCAAAGTCAGACTTTTTTATTCAAACTAGCAATCCATAAACAGACTTTGAAGAACAGGACTTTATCTTTCTTACAGTAAAGCTAAATAAAAACTGCCTGTTTAGAGTTGTTAGTTTCAGGTGCAACTTTAATAGCTTTGGCACAACAATAGGAAAATATGACATCTCTGAACTCTAATATTCAGTGCCAATAAGCTTATTTAGCCTCCAAGAGATTTTGATAATCAGATGTATTTTTAATAGCAGTTTCATAGCAGGAAAGCATTAAAAGTACTTGTTTCTCGAAAGCTGATCATATGCAGAAGCTTCATTTCACAGAATGGTTGAGGTTGGAAGGAACCTCAGGAGGTCGCCTGGTCCAACCTCCCTGGCTCAAGTAGGGCCACCTAAAGCCCAGGACCATGTCCAAATCCAAATGGCTTTTGAATATCTCCAAGGACAGAGACTCCACAGTCTCTCTGGGCAACCTGTGCCAGCATTTGATCACCTTCACAGCTAAAAAAGTGTTTCCTGATGTTCACAGGGAACCTCCCGTGTTTCAGTTTGTGCCCATTGCCTCTGGTCCTGACACTGGGTACCAAGAAATAAAGCCTGGCTCGGTCTTCTTAGCAGCCTCCCTTCACGTAGTTGTAGATATTAACAAGACCTCCCTGACCCTTCTCTTCCCCAGCCTGAACAGTCCCAACTCTCTCAGCCTTTCCTCACAGGAGAGATGCTCCAGTCCCTTCATCATCTTAGTTGCCCTTCACTGGACTCTTCCCTCATGTTCTCTTCTACTGGGGAGCCCAGAACTGGACCCTGCACTCCAGGGGTGGCCTCCCCAGTGCTGAGTAGAGGGCAAGGGTCACCTCCCTTGACCTGCTGGCAACACTTCTCCTAGTGCAGCCCAGGACACCGTTCGCTGCCTTTGCCATGGGGGCATGTTGGTGCCTCACGTTCAGCTTGGTGTCCATCCCAGGACCCCCAGCTCCTTTTCTGCAGAGCTGCTCTCCAGCTGGTTGACCCTCAGCATGTCCTGGTGCCTGGGGTTGTTCCTCCCCAGGTGCAGGACTTTGAATTTGCCTTTGTTGAATTTCATGAAGTTCCTATTGACCCATTTCTCCTGACTGTAAACACTTTCTAAACCAATGTGCAACGCTATAGCTCTTGGGCAGGAAAGCTAGCAAAAATCAGTTCAATTTAATTTATCTTTCCAGTGAAGCCAGCCCATGGCTTGGAAACCCAAGTATCTGCTAGGTTTTCTTCTCTATTAGGTCAAGGTCTAATTTCACCTCAATTGTTAGATCTACAACATGAAGGTCTGCATAGCCCTCAGTACCTCAAGACAATAGTATATCAGCATTAAGAGGTGAACTATACATTGTGTTATTTCCTCTGGAACTGAGCTAATTGCTTGCAAGTTATAGGAATAAAATTATTTTATTTTCTATTCCTTTTCAATGTAGAATTAGCCATTTATATTGTAATGATCTGGTCTCTCTTCTAAGCAGTAGCTAGAAATAGATTATTTGCATAGGCTTGCACTGCAAGGTAGCACACACCAGCTTCT